TGTGAAAATTATATGACATTCAAATTTTGGTGTCCATAAATAAACTTTTACTGAAATACAGCTTGACTCATTCATTTGCATTTTATCTGTAACTGCTTCATATTTGCAACAGAGGATGCATGACCTGTGAATTCTAAAACAACGATTGTTAACTGGGGTTGAATTTGCTCCTGGGCCCCACAGAGCAATTGACACAAAGTCTGGAGACATTTTTGGTTGTGACAAGGGTTAAGTGGATACTACTGGGGTCTTATTGGAAGAGATCAGAACGTTGCTAAATATCCTATAACAAACAACACAACCCATTTAACAAAAAAATTATCTTGTAAAAGTGTCAGTAGTGCTGAGTTTGAGGAACTTTAGCCTTCGATATTTACTATGTGATCCTTTACAGAAAATGTTTGCTATGCCCTGCCCTAGATCCTAATAAAAAATAAAGGGAACAAAGTTTCCTCTGATAATTAGAAGATATGCATGCTTAAGTTTAGACACATGAATTTGAAAGTATGAGTAATTAAAATTTAAACAATTTCACTGAGTCTTATGTATGAAATAAATGTTTCAAGAAACCACCTGATCTAAGTCAAATGGTTCTAATTGCACTCAATAAGTGAAAAACCCACCTGAAAAGTGATATGGTTAAAATTGTGAAAACAGAGACAAAAACACATAAATGTAAAATCAGTTGCTTATTTTGTGACGTGTGTGCCAAACAACTAGGTGATGACATTATTCTAGTTTCAACTTCTTTGCTGTGTTTTAACATAGAACATCATAAAATGAGTCACTTTCAGTATCCAGAGAATTCTGTGTCCCATAGTTCAATAGTCATAGTAGAATTTTCTTTTTAAAGAGTTTCACTGGGTGTGAAAACCTATTCCCTACTATTTAAGCCAAACACTGACATTGCATAAAAATAAGAAAAAAGAGACTCCATAGCTCCAAGTCTCCAATAGTAAGTGACAGAGTAATAGGAACCACAATTGGAGATTTCCTCTCTGATTTATAAGCATCTCATATCAAGTCACCTCTTAAAAATCTATACCTATAATATGTGATTAAACTTATTGTCAAGTGGATTATATTTTCACTTGGCCTTTTAACCTTGCTTTTTGATTTTTAACAAAAGGACAGGAAATCTTTCCTTCTGTGGTAGAAGGTAGGAATGGGAGGTGTTCTTTCTCCCTTGTCCATTAGATCATACTAATCTCATACTTTTTCTATTTAGAAACCTGACTTTGAGTTAATATATACCATTCTAACATGTCAAAGATGTTAATTTTTAATTTGAAACACTTGTCTTAATAGGAATGGGTGAGATCATGTTAGCTTTATTGTGATAGCTGAACAGTCCCTGAACAAGTGCCTAATGAAAAGAAACAGTGATATTGCAGCTTTGTCTCATTTTAAGCAACAATAATAAGAAGTGGCCCCAGAAAAATTGATAGCAGATCCCACGTTTTGTGCAGTGTTCCAGAAATAATCTGGTTTTGACATAATGCAGAGTCAAAGAGAATAAAAGAATAAAGGAGACTGTGGTGAATACAACTAATTGTTTCCAACTCATGGTGAAGTGATGATTAAAATGCTAGTTTAAGGGACAGGAAGACCTGGGCCTGAATACCATCTTTGAATCTTATAGGCTCTGTTATCTTATGAAGCTCTTCAACTGCTGAGATGCTGTCTTCTCATTGGTAAAATAGAGATGATCACAGCATGCACCTCAAAAGCTGTTAGGACAGTTAAACACCCTGACACACTTGGAATGTTCAGTGTAAGGTAGTTTTAATTGCTATAACTTGATGTCATCTGGGACACTTTTGCCCTCAGGAGAACTCATGAATCTTGGTACAAGCACCAACCATGCTCTGTGACATTCCAAAATCCTCCCTGTGACTTCTGCCAGGTCCTCAGGACTTGCTTCCCTAGGTTTCCCTGAACTCTTGCGTTGCTTCATTCTCATAGGTTATGTCAATTTTTCTCATAAATACCTTGACACAAAACTCTTGTGTGCTCTGTTCACACAATGCATTTAGCTTGAAAATTATTCAGAAGATTTTGGAGTTAGTGTAGGAGTGTTCAGATTTTGAAACTTCCTGCCACTGGGTGTCAAGACCTCATATCTGGCTTTTTTTTTTTTTTCCCCCTCTTTTCTTTCCTTCTTCGCTTCCTGTGTTGCTCTAGTTCCTCCACCACTTCCTCCTTTCTTGTCTTCTATCTTGCTTCCCTTGCATCCTCCTTGTCTCTCTGTCTCTGTCTTCTCCATCTCCTTCTCCCTGATGTCTCTGCATTCCACATTCACTCTCAATCCCAGTTTCAAATTCCTCTGTCTCTATTATGCAGAATGGCTTTGTCTTTCTTGAAGCCTGGTCACATCAGCTGTTGGGGGAACTTGGGGAAAACTTCTGTGCTCAGTTTCTAATACAGACATTTTTTCCTTACTAATGTGGTTTTCTCCCTAATAGAAATCCAGAGAGCATTAAAAGAAGTGAAGATGTATCATCTTGGTTCATAATGACTTCATTCTTGGTGTTTCACATCTCCTGACCTCTACTGTTCTCTTTGTGTGATACTGAGGGAATATCCATCTCTGAAGACTCCATGTGATACAACTTTTTTCCACCTTTGGGGGCTCCTAATGCCATTACAAAACTGCCTGCAATTTTCTTATGACCTTTACTTCCCCATGCCATCTACTGTTATCTATGCACATACATTTTCTATCATCTTTTAAGGACTGGAACTAGAACTTCTTCATCTTAATTTCTTCTACAATGTGACACAGTAACATAGTGTATGATAGTTAAGTGCCATTGTTTTAAAATAAATACTGCCATCTTTAAACATAAAAAATGGCTGAAAATAACAATCCATATGAGAAAAAGAGCGTGGGTTTTGGCTGTGCCTTTCCTAGCTTCATTTATTTTCTCTGTGGTCTTGGTTGTGTGTATCGGCCAGCGTTCAGACAGGGAGCAAAGCCACAGTGAGTATTATGGGAGTGAAAGAATTATTCTAGGAATCAGACTTCAAACAATGTGGGAAGAATGGAGGAAGTGAAAGTGGGGAAGAGGAGGTCAGAGGATCAGAGAAAGAAGCGCCACCCTGTCTTTTTGAACTACTAGTACAGGTGGACAAGCCAGAGTTTTCAAGGAAATCTGAGAAGTCAAGCATAAGCACATTTGGCTATTTATACAGGACCATGGACAGGAAGCTGTGGCAGGGTCTATGGAAGCTGCTGCATTTGTGTAGCTTCTGTAGCCAAGTGTCTGGTGGTGGGCCAGGGGACGCTTTTGGTCATCTGGAGAACAAGAAAAAGTGGCCTCTGTCCACCACTGTGTCTGATTGCAACCATCTTCTAAGAGAAATGACTGTTGCTTTAACTTGTCTTCTGAATCTCTCACAAGTACCACTTTTGGCCAACTTTAATCTGGAGTCATCCAGGAAATAAGATTCTGGGGAGCATAATTTCCAGCCTTATCCAATACAACAGTTATGTTACTCATTTTCTCTAAGCTTCAGTTTCCTTAGCAGATGAATGCAAACCCTAATTTGTCAAGTTGTTGTAAGAATAAGAAATGCTTATACACAGTCTAATATATAGTAGGCCTTGAAGTAATGGCTTCGAGTAATGATTGTATGAACTGCCACCTTGGAGCAACCGGATGGTTCAGTTGGTTAAGCATCTGACTCTTGATGTTGGGTCAGGTCATGATCTCAGGGTCTTGAGATCCAGTCCTATGATGGCCTGATGGTCCCTGCTCTGGGTATGAAGCCTGTTTAAGATTCTCTCTCTCCCTCTGCCCCGACCTTCTATTCTTTCTCTGCCTCTACTCCCCCGCAAAAGATGCGGCCTTGTGACTGCTTCTAGAGGACTGCCCTCTGCTTTTGTTCTGAGACATAAAGAAGGTGTGGAGGGGAGACAAATAGAAGAAGAAAAAAAAGCAAGGTCAAAAAAAAAAACACCTTTTTATGAGCTGAGGGTTACTTGCAGGTTATAATCCTAGTACCTAAATTAAGGGCTATTAGAAATTGATCATTATCCATATATTTCACTTAGAATTTCACATGTCACAATTGTTTCAATTATATACTCTATTATACAAGTTTCCATTTTCTTAGGAACAAGAAGGGGATGTGCTATGGGTTTTGGAACTTTCTTACTCCGGAGCTCTTAGCACTTTTCTAGTCAAGATGTGTCAACACTTTTGATTCATGGTCCAGTGTCTTTTTGCACAAGTTATCAAATTATCACTGCAGATAAATCTGAGGCCCAATTTAAGTGGGTACACATTTCAAGTGAGGAGAAGAAAGAATGAGATTTGGATGAGCTTTCAACATTTATATCTGAAATCCAAAGTGAATTGAACTCAGGTCCCATATGCCACCAAACATTCATTAAATTTATCATAGTGTTTTCCAGAAGAAGACCCAACCAAAAATAAATCCTCCAGTTTTATTCATGTCTAAGAAGGGACATTCAAAAATAGAAGGTTCTTGGGCACCGTCCTGGGATCAAGCCCTGCATCAGGCTTTCTGCTCAGCAGGGAGCCTGCTTTTCTCCTCTCTCTGCCTACCTCCTCTCTACCTACTTGTGATTTCTCTTTCTGTCAAATAAATAAATAAATAAAATCTTTGAAAAAAAAAAAGAATAGAGGGTTCTCTGGTGTTCTTTTTCTTTTTTTTTTTTCTCTAAAAATAATTTTTCTTCTTTATCTTCTGTTTTTAAAACTGTCGCTGTCTTCTAAAATTCCCTTAAAACATCTGTAGGACTATGAGTGAGCCTCTGAAATACGACTTTCCCCTAGGATCCGCCAGTTGATTAGATATATACAAAAGTGAATCTTTTCTTTATTCTGGGACGTAAATGAAGAAACTGTTTGACACATCATTGTGGTTTCAAGTGCCACTGCTTTGTATAGATATGAGTTCACTGGGACCCTCTAGAAAAATTTCCACCTTCTATTTGCATTCTTCTTATGTCTGCCATTTCCTTTCTCTGCTCAAATCCTTTGTTTCTGTTGGTGGAACAGGGGTTTGCAAACTTGTCTATTTGTAGAAGAAAGCCAGATAGTAACTACTTTAGGCTTTGTGGATGAAGAAGCAAATTTGTGCTGAATAATCTTCATGTATTTCTCCAAAGGATTTTCACCACAAACGGACTGACCTTTCATTTCCTCAACACTGATTTCTTTTTCCATTTCAATCTCCAAGGACTCTTCAATCATCCTCCGCTCTTGATCCAGTTTTTCTAGTTCTCTTCGTTCCCTTTCTAAAGCTTCTTGCCGCTCACTCTGCCTTCTCTCTTCTCTCTGCCTGCGTGCTCTCATGTGCTCTTCCCACATGTTTTCTTCTTCCTTCTGTTCTCCCATTTGTTTTTGATCCACGCTCGGGTAGTGACAGGACACAGGTCTGGCGGCCGCGGCGGCATCCGCGTGAGGCATGTCACCGGCGGGATGGAGGCCATCCGCTTCAAACTGCCTCGCCGCGCTCCCTGCATATTCGAAAGATGATTCAAATTCCTCATTGTCCTTAAGAGGTAGCTTGGCCGGATTTGAAAATTCACTTTTGTCCTGAAGCTCCATTTGTCTTTGACAAAGTCTGGCCTGCTCCGGAGGGCTGGGCGGCGGGTGGAGGGCAGCGCTGTGCCTGGACTCAGCAGATGAAGGCGGGGGTGTTCTGTCGGGACAAGGACTGGGGTCAGCCGCGTGGGATCGGTCCAGACCTTCCAGATACATTTCACCATCGAGGCTCCTTTTTGCTTTGGGAACGGTTACTTAGATAACCATTTTAAATATTACCTTTTAAAAACTGTAAATACCATTCTCCTATCATGGCCATATAAGCACTATTAAAACAACAAACTACAGCAGAGCACAGTTTGTTGACCTCTGGTTTAAAATATTGCTTATGGTTTGACACGTGTTTTGGTATCCTAACTTGCTCTTTGGTTTGGCTTTTCTCCAAAATTTCATCCTGCAGTTTATTTTCAGTCATGCTGACAACCCAGGCCCTCACTCTACTTTTTTGGGGGGGATACTCAGGAAGGTCCCCAATTATTCTTCAACACCAACAAATCCTCACACATGATATATTATTTTTCTTAAGCTTATCACTTCAAAGATAGCCTTTTTTAGTAAAATAAAACTAAAAGAGTAGATTTGTAATGACATGATATCTTAAATTTTGAAATAAATTCCCAAAGCATTCTAACACAGGTCTAAGTAATATAAAAGAAAATACAAATCTGTCTTCTACCCAAAATACCTTAATAATTAATGAAAACTTGTTTTATAAATTTAATGTCGCAGATGACTTCTCTTTGTTGTCCTAGACCTCTAGCATTTTTCCCTCTGGCATTGATTCATTCAGTGAATATTTATTTCCCATCTACAATGTGTCAGAGACTCTATGAGGCACTATCAAATCAGAAATAACAGGCACAGTCCCTGCTTTCAAGGGGCAAGAATTCGAAGGAAGGAGAATGACAAGAGAGTTGACAGATCTAATTCAGGGTGGTAGGTGCCATGACAGTAATGGGTCCAGTATGTGTCCAGAGTGGCACTAAACTGGGCAAAATTAAATCTGGAAGGGCATCCTACAGAATTTGATGTCTGGCCTGAATCTTAAACCATGAGCATTTAACATGATGCAGAAAAAGAAAAATGTAGAAAGGCACAGAAACATTAGAGACTCTCATCTGCATAGGGGCTGTGCATAATTTAATTAAGCTAGACTGTGGTGGTCGAGATGTGTAGTGTCTGGAACCATGCCTAGCACAAAATTGATGCTTGATCAAGAACTGTTGACAGACTGAGTGCCAAGAGATGAGCCTAAAGAGGTAGGCAGGGAAAAGATAATCTATGGCATGCTACGATGGTTGAATTTTATCCAAGAAGCATGGCAGAACTTGATAAAGGATCGACTTGATGATATTGGGTCTCAGAAAATTTACTCTGACAGCACTGTGGGAATGGTCCAGAATGGAGCAAACCCTGAGCAGGAGAGAACAATTAAGAAGTTGTTGTAGTCCACTAGAAAGGAAGTGTTGAGTAGTTGAACCATGGAGGTCACAGTGGAGATAAACAAGAGGGTTACAATTAGAGAGTCTTTCAGATCATCAATACATCCTTTTGTTATTCTGTTGAGTGAACGTAAAAACAATAAAACCCCAAAGTATCTGTGTAGTACTGTACAGTCTGAAAAATATTTTCACAGAGAGATTTAATCAATCAGTCTATACCACAGTCTTTGTGAACTAGACCAGAGAATTATAATGAAAGAGAAAATAATGAATCCAGCACACACACTGACAGATACAATCTTAGGCCAGGTTTTGTGCGTGATAACTCTAATTCTTACTGATTACCTAATTAATCCCAGAGAGATCTAAGGCTTGAAAATGCAAATATTACACTTTTCGTTACAAGGTTAATTTGTATTTACCATCCACAGTTTGGCAAATGATTTTCTGTTTTCACCATGAATATGTATGGCTTGCTTTCAGCAACTAGAAACACTTTGTTTTTTTTTATATTCTACTTCATGTTCTGCCTGCAGCAGGATTGACTCGGGGAGTAGCCTCCTAATTAAGACTGGGTAAATTATAAATAGCAAATTTAGAGGCAATTGGTTGACTGAGAAAATATATACTGTATACAACGTGGGTCTCAGCAGACCTTTCCATGCAATCTTTTTACTTTTGATACATTAAAAGTCATGGGAATTTTTAGTCTCCCTTACCATATTTATTATAGGATTTCTTCAATGGAAATGAGGGTTATCATTTAGTGGGTGCTTAAGGAGTTTGATTTAGAAGTTCATTCTCTGACATAGCAGAATTAAATATTCTTCCTTTGTTTTCCCTCCTTTTAAGATGTTTCCTAAAGAATCTCATTCTCTTGACAGAAATTGAGAAAGATAGATCCATCTCAGTATAGCTGCAGATGTCAGGGACTTTATTTGCTTAATGCCTTAATTTTACAAGGGAAACATTGAAGCTCTGAGAGGTTACATGATGTGCCCAGGATCCCTCAGCAACTTCATAAGAAGGGAGCAAAGACTTCTAAATGCTGGTTCAGTGCTTTCTCCCTGCACACCTCACAGAACGATTATTACCTCTTCCCACTTCCCAGAAGGTCACCCTTATAAATTGATTTATTTGGTTTGAATTTGAGTTTACTTTTACAATTCAAATGTTCCAGAGAACAGGCAGTGAATTCAGTAAGGATTATCAGTTTGTATGCCTTTTAGTGTAAAGAAATCTCCCATGTCTCTTTCCCTATATGTGGATTTCAAGCAGAGAGAGGGTAGAAAAGAATAGTTAGGAAATCTTAAGTAGAGGGAAGTATTTCTATGGAAACGACAAAGAGATCGGGAAAACTACAACAGAGCTCGCTTTTCTCTTATTGAATTGAAGTGGCTGTATTTAGATATCCATATTAGAACACATTTGTTCTATTTAACTTTTGTGTATTTCTATTTTTTTATTTTTTTGGTAAGTTTAACCTTTCGTTGGAAACAAAGAGTTTGAAAATTAATGCCGAATTGTGTCAGTAAATGTATCATTGTCTCCACTCCTTCACAGGCTTAATCTGCCTGCAAAGCTCTTTCTGGATATTCAATCACATGGTTTCCTTTTCTTAAAATTTTTGTTGATTTAAATTCAATTTAGTTAACGTATTCTGTATTATTCGTTTCAGAGGTAGCATTTAGTGAATCATCAGCTGCATATAACACCCAGTACTCATTACATCAAGTGACCTCTTTCATGACCATCACCCAGTTACCCCATCCCCCCACTTCCCTCCCCTCTGGCAACCCTCAGTTTGTTTCCTACAGTTGAGTTATTAGTGGGGTGCCTGGGTGGCTCAGTGGGTTAAGCTGCTGCCTTTGGCTCAGGTCATGATCTCAGGGTCCTGGGATCAAGTCCCGCATCAGGCTTTCTGCTCAGCAGGGAGCCTGCTTCCCTCTCTCTCTCTCTGCCTGCCTCTCTGTCTACTGTGATCTCTCTCTGTCAAATAAATAAATAAAATCTTAAAAAAAAAGAGTTTAGTTATAAGAGTTCTAAGTTATTTTCCATACACACAAACACACACACACACACACACACACACATACACACACATGACTTCCTTTATGACCTTCAGGCTTTTGCTTATATGGCCCTTTCTTCATGTAGATTTCCCAGACCAACCCGTCCTGCCCATCCCCCCTCCCTGATTTTGTTTTCTCTTTAGCACTTATTACCAAACTTACTTATATAAATTTGAACTCCCTGCTGGAATGTGAGGCCTATGAGGACAGGAGTTTTTGTTCAGTGCTTTTCTTTCCAGTGGCTGGGGTGTTACCCGGCACCTGCTAGCAGCCCAAGGAGCTTTTGTTACAAGAATAAAGAAATTGATTGAGAACGTATTATGTACTACTAAGAAGATGAAAGAGATAGATATGTTAGTTTATTTTATGACGGGAGATTGACAAGGATTAATACTATAGAGAGCTACATAGTCTAGTTCTTGAGGTTCAAACTAAGAGGAAGCTATCAAGGTTCTCACTTAAATTTTGGATTTATCTGCCTCAAGTAGTCATTAGGAATAATACTAAATTTTATATTTCAAATCCAGTCAATAAAGAAGAACTGTAAGGCTCAAATATAATTTATAACTAATAATGTTTAGCTGAAATTTTTAGTGAATGGTCATGGAAATGAATTTTCTATTCTGTGAATCCGGTTCTTTTGAGCTAAATTATGTAGTCGTCTACCACCTGTAAAGAGAAAGATAAAGGATTTTCCGTTATTAAGGGACTGAGATTTCAGTAGTGTACAGATAAAGCTGTAACAACAACAGTGAAACACCCAAGAACCAAAACCAAAAAACTGAAATTGCAAAATTTGGCCTCCTTCTTGAGTGCCCTAGATAATCACTCATTCATGTTCTTGATTTGTTTGGACCTCCTTTAAGTGTTACTAAAACATGTCATTGTTGAAATAATATTTGTGGCAAAAGCAAAGGTCTACTAATGTCTCCATGTATTTCTTAGCACAGCTTAGTTTAGAGACAAGCCCATGGAACAGTTGACAGGAAAACAGATACCTTGCATTTAAGCAAACTGCAAGGAAAATAAATAGTGTCATCTACGTGGTGTGCTCCACCTAATCTCTCTAACAATGATTATGAAAACTGAATGCAAGTAAAAACAGATGACCCATGTTTGCCTGGAGAATAAGCAGAGAGATCTCTTGTCTACTGAATGAAGGGATTTCAGTGCCTCTCTCTTTCCCTGACTCTATCTATAAACACACACAAGTTTACATATATATATGAATGTATATATATGAATGTATATATATTATGTATATATGTAGTCATATGTGTATTTTTTAAAAAATAATCTTATTTTCTTTCCTATGCTCTCCTTTTTTCTTTCTAAAAGATTAATGACACAGAAGAAAGCAAGCTTACACTTTGAGGATCTAGAACTAAATCAAACAAATACCCCCCCCCCCCCCAAAAAAAATCAAGAATTGCTCTGTTTGTTTTGTTTGTATCCAAACTAAAATTTAAAATTTATAAGAGTATTTATGCAGTTCAGTTGCCCTGTCAACTGCATATAAATCAATGCCACTTCACTCAGCTTTCATACATTATGATTTTTGCTGTAGTTACAGATCACTGGGAAAAAAAAAGAAAAGTGGGAATAGGTTTTAAATAAAAATATAGACAAGAGTTTTTAAGGTCCTGCCAGTTTGTGCAGTCTTTATTGTTT